TTTAAACCTTTGGGCTCCAAATTTTCTCCCTTCCTCCCACCCTACCCACCCTCATTGAAAAGGCAAGCAAGTCAATATAGGCCATACATGTGCAGTTATGCAAAACACTTCCATAGTAGACATGTTATGAAAAACTAACTCTATTTCCCTTAATCTTATCCTGCCCCTCCATTTATTCTATTCTTTCTTTTGACCCTGTCCCTCCTCAGAAGTACTTCCTTCTGATTACCCCTTTTCCAATCTGCCCTTCTCTCTATCACCCCCCTGCTCTCTTGTCCCCTTCCTCCCCTATTTTCCTGTAGGGTAAGACAGATTTCCATACCCAATTGAGTGTGTATGTTATTCCCTCCTTAAGCCAAATCCTATGAGAATAAGATTCCCTCATTTCCTCTTACCTTCCCCTCTCCCTTTCTCCTTCTTCTAGTATAATCCTCTCTCACCCCTCAATTTTATTCTCCAGATATCACCCCTTCATCTTCAACTCACCCTGTGGCCTCTGTCTATCTATCTGTCTGTCTGTCTGTCTGTCTGTCTGTCTGTCTGTCTATCTGTCTGTCTATCTATACATACATACAATTTTTCCCCTCCCAGTACCCTAATACTGACAAAGGTCTCATGAGTTATAAATATCATCTTTCCATGCAGGAATGTAAACAGTTCAACCTTAATAAGTCTCTTATGATTTCTCTTTCCTGTTTACCTCTTCATGTTCCACTTGAGTCTTGTATTTGAAAGTCAAATTTTCTATTCAGCTCTGGTCTTTTCATCAAGAATGCTTGAAAGTCCTCTATTTCACTGAATGACCATTTTTTCCCCTGAAGGATTATACTCAGTTTTGCTGGGTAGGTGATTCTTGGTTGTAATCCTATCTCCTTTGCCCTCTGGAATATTATATTCCATGCCCTGGGTCCTTAATGTAGAAGCTGCTAAATCTTGTGTTATCCTGATTGTGTTTCCACCATACTTGAATTGTTTCTTTCTGGCTGCTTGCAATATTTTCTCCTTGACCTGGGAACTCTGGAATTTGGCTACAATATTCCTAGGAGTTTTCCTTTGGGGATCTCTTTCAGGGGAGATCGTGGATTCTTTCAATTTCTATTTTGCCCTCTGGTTCTAAAATCAGGGCAGTTTTCCTTGATAATTTCTTGAAAGATGATGTCTAGGCTCTTTTTTTGATCATGGCTTTCAGATAGTCCAATAATTTTTAAATTCTCTCTCCTGGATCTATTTTCCAGGTCAGTTGTTTTTCCAGTGAGATATTTCACATTGTTTTCTAATTTTTCATTCTTTTGGATTTGTTCTACTGTGTTGATTTCTCATAAAGTCACTAGCTTCCAATTGCTCTATTCTAATTTTTAAGGAAGTATTTTCTTCAGTAATCTTTTGGACTTCCTTTTCCATTTGGCCAATTTTGCTTTTTAGGGCATTCTTCTCCTCATTGGCTTTTTGGACCTCTTTTGCCATTTGGGTTAGGCTATTTTTTAAGGTGTTATTTTCTTCAGTATTTTTTTGGGTCTCCTTTAGCAAGCTGTTGACTTGTTTTTCATGATTTTCTTGCATCACTTTCATTTCTCTTCCCAGTTTTTCCTCTACTTCTCTTACTTGCTTCTCAAAATCCCTTTTGAGCTCTTCCAAGGCCTGGGAAGGATTCATATTTTTCTTGGAGGCTTTGGATGTGGGAGCTTTGACTTTGTTTTCTTCTGGTTGTATGTTTTGATCTTCTTTGTCACCACAGTTAGATAATATAGTCTGACTCTTTTTGCGAGGTTTGCTCATGATCCCAGCCAACTACTTGAGTTTTAAACTCTTTGTTAAGGTAAAAGTCTGCTTCCATTGTGGAGAATGTACTGTCCCAAGCTTCAGGGGTTTGTATAGCTGTTTTCAGAGATACTTCTAGGGACCTGTAAATTTTCAGTTCTTCCAAGGTTATATGATAAGTATCGAGGTGTTTACTCTTTTCCTGGCCTGAGCTCTGGTCTTTGAGTGACCAGCCACAAGCAGTGTTTTCTCTCTTGGAACTGCGAAGAGGGTTTTCTCTCTACCGCCACTACAAGCTCCACCGGGCCAGCGCTCCTCCTCACCCCAGGACCACCACCCAGAACTGTGACCCAGATCCAAGCAAGGGCAAAGAAAGAGATTCCTGCCTCAGCACCAGCAAAGAGATACCTGCAGTCCCCCTCTGATCAGCCACTTGATTCCCCCTCAGTCTGTGGGCTGGAAGCTCAGGACACAGCCACCACCCTGCACCTGCACTCTGCACTCTGTGCTCTGTAACTGGCTCTGACCTGGCTCTTCTCTCACCGCAAAAACAGACTTTTCCCACTGACCTCCTAAGTTGTCTTTGGCATTGGTGGATTGAGGAGTCTGGAAGCTGCCACAGCTGCCCGTGATTCAGTCCTATGAGTCCTGCTCTAGGTTCGCTGAGGCCTGCGCACCCACGTGGAATTGCGCTTCTCTCCCTGCCCAGCGCAATATGCCTTTCCAATTAACCGTCCAGGCTGTCTTGGGCTGGAAATTTGTTTTACTCTGTCTTTTTTGTGGGTTCTGCTGCTTTAGAATTTGTTTAGAGCCATTTTTTTATGGGTATTTGGAGGGGTTTGGGGGAGAGCTCAAGCAAGTCATTGCTTTCACACTGCTGCCATCTTGGCTCCGCCCTCCCAGGCATGGTCTTTAAGAACAAAATCTAGCCAGTAAATCTCAAGATACCTAGGTAGGATTCAGACTTGAAGATTTCCTTTGCTTTGGGCAGATCACTCACAGGTAAGGTCTTCATACTCCATGTAGAGAGGGAACAACAGAGGAGAGGAGTGGAGGTAAGAGGAGCTGAGTTTCCCAACTGAAACTGTCCAGTTGGGTCCCCAATGGGCCAGCTTGGACTACTCACATGTAGTCGTTTGTCCTTCGTTCTAGAAGAGGACTTTGATATCAGGGAGATGATGCCATAACTTGCAAATAGTGAGAGAGGGCTGGTAAAGTCACCAGCCTTACTTTCTCCTCCGGAGCCAACTGGAGATGACCCACAGTGCAAAGGGAGACCTTGGCTTTTTTAAGGGAAGATCTTTTAAACTGAATTCTCACTGTGTGGGATGCCACTCAAATTAAAAAACACAGAGGTATCCAAAGAGAAACAAAAAGTTAATTTATTATTATTACTTGAAGTCTTGAGATTTGGGTGTTCCTCCACCAGGATGCTCTGATGAGGGGAGACAGAGTACAGGAGCAAAGGACCTGATTAAATAGCCCTAACTGGTAAAGCCCCCCTCCCAACAACTGGCCAATGTTTTGGCTCCCATTCTCAACACGAAACTCTACCATAGGAACAAACAACAACAAACAGTATGCATATCTTAGTTACAAATTATAGATATCCATATTTAGCCCTTAGGTTGTTGAAATATTACCAAAAAAGCAATTAAAGATGTACAGTCAAGCTAGACACTGTGCTGTGTAGCAAGGTCATCATGACTAAAGCATAGCAATAGTTGTAGCAACATGATACAAGGGGGTTTCTTCAGGAGTTTCAGGCTTGGCAAACATTAACTACTGAAATAATAATGGCATAGAAAGAAGGGTTACTTGGGGCTAGACTACTGTAACTCAGGTGATTTCTAGTAAACTAAAACTTATGCCTGTCAGGCTACTATGCCTGACTTGAGTCTAATACAATTTCTATTTATTCTTCTAAGAAGTTTTCATGGGACCCCTTATCCCACTCAGCCTTATTCCAAACCTTAATTACATTGGGAGTCTTCACTGAAACATCCCATTCATCACTTTCAGTCAATATCAATTTCAGTCAGGCAACTCACCCCCTCTGTACTCTTCTCCTCTGCTCTCCTCTCTTCACATTCAGTATCATGACCATTCCTGAGGGTAATCTGCCCAAAGGAAGCTAAAGGAAGGCTGAAACCTGCCTAGCTATATTGTGCTTTACTGGCTAGATTTCTTTCCTTAAAGAATATTACTTAAACCCAATTCACTCTGGTTCTCAATTACTGGCCAACAATAAGCCTCTACCCAAGCACCATTTAATGGTTATTATTTGAATGTAAATAGTAATTGTTTTTCTTTTGGCCAGAAACCCTGAGGGTCTTCCTCTCCCAGTTTGAGATATATACATATACATGTACACACACACACACACACACACACACACACGTGTGTGTGTGTGTGTGTATTTACATTAAAGAAGCCATCCCATTGGTTCACTTCTTTTTGGAAAATATTTTATTCAAAAGTTTCACAGCACCATCTAGTTATCTTAAAGAATGCAGCCCCAGCGCACCACCCCTCTGCCTTGCCCCTGCCCCACCCCCCTCCAGATGCAGAAGTTTAAAATGATACCATTTGGCTAGAGAGTCCCCCCCCCCTTTTTTTCTTTAAATTCAGGTCATGATATGATTTTGGTTACTGTCTCACCTCAGCCTCCTGAGCCCCAACTTGGATGGGATTTTAACAGGTGATGGCGTGTCCTCTCCCTTCCCCTAACCCTTGTAACTCCAAGCCAAGGGAAGCAGGAACTCAGCATCCTCCTGTCCTCATCCCCATCCCATGCTGGTAGAGGCAGATAAAACTACAATGGAAAAGGTGAAATTCACCTTGGCTCCCTTCCTGAACAGCCCTAATCACTAAATGGGCATCGCCTCAGTAAAAGTGAGAACTTGGAAAGACCTTAGCTTATAAAGGCTGAGGTCTCCCACTGCATTGTGGGCCATTTCTAGTCATCCTGATGTATATCTGGCCACTGGACTCAGATGGCTCTGGAGGAGAAAGTAAGGCTGGTGACTTTGCACAGCCATCCTTCACTTAAATCTAGTTCATTTGCAAGTCATGGCATCATCTTCCTGATGTCACTTGGAGAGGAGAAACCACAACCTCTGAGTAGTCAGTTTCAGTGGTGCTTCCTTGTTTATTATGGAGTATTTCATATGGTAAATTATGCTAATATTCTAAAGCTATATTGAAAATTTTACCACTTAAAATGTTTTCTTTGTCATTAGGTATAGACTGATGAAAACACAATCTTCTGAGACAATGCACCTAGCTGTGGTAGCCTGTGGCGAACGACTGGAAGAGACTGTAACTATGATAAAATCAGCTATTATTTTCAGCATCCAACCTCTTCAGTTTCACATTTTTGCTGAAGACCACTTGCACCGCGGCTTCAAAAACATAGTAGGTATTTGGGATAGGTTACGGGATTATATTATTTTATTGTACATGTATAGCAGATATGTTGATATAAATTAAACAGTAGTTGAAGCTTTTTAGATAATAATGCTATGTCACTGATAGTACAATGCCTTTAACACAGCAAGTGCTTATTAATAAGTACTTTATGACTGATTCATGAGAACTAAATTAAAACTTACTGATGAGTAGAAGCTTATCTGAGTTGAAAAAAATTTGATTACATATTTTTATTGAATGTTAGAGTTGAAAACTTCAAAGACTAGAGTAAGTTAAAATTAATTAAACAGACTATAACTTTATTGTTTTAAGACATATTGTTAAATTAGATGAATGAGAATTATCAAGGAGAAATCCTTAAAAATTATATTTTAATGTAACAAATAATAATTGTTTATAATTAAAATAATAGAAATGGAAATGCCTAAAGTTCCTGATGGTGCTAGAAAACAATGTTTTCTTTTGTTATTTATATTAAATATATGAAATATTTCTGCATTGACAGCTTGCATTTTTTGTGAAGAAAGCTGTTTTGCTTTACAAAAGTAAAGCCAAGGGGCAGCTAGGTGGCGCAGTGGATAGGGCACTGGTACTGGATTCAGGAGGACATGAGTTCAAATCCAGCCTCAGACACATAACACTTACTAGCTGCGTGACCCTGGCAAGTCACTTAACCCCATTGCCTAACCAAAAAAGAAAAAAAGTAAAGCCAAATTATGATTTAATAGAATTTGGATTATTAAGGTTTTACATTTTAAATTTCTTATGTCAGTCTTTCCCATTTCTCTACACTTTTTATGAACTTTTCTTTTACAATATTAAATGAAGCATTTTAGGTTTTTATAAAATTGAGGGTTTTTTGGAGGTTGCTTTATTTTTTACTTAATCAAGACTATCTCAAATATATATAGACAATTTTTCTACTTAGTAATTCAAGAAAAAAATTTAGTTTCTTTTTTAAAATATTAATCTAATCCAACTTCCATATTGAGCTTTTTTTTTTTTAACACTACTGGTTCCAAGTAGTAAAAAATTCCCTTTTTGGCAATAGTGATATTTTATATTTCTTTCAAATGTTATCATAAAAGTTGAACTTAGTAGGGGCAGAGCCATGATGGTAGAGGAGAGACAGCAACTCAGCTGAACTTTTCCGACATTCCCTTCCAAACAAATTTAAGATAATATCTCAAATCAAAGTTTTGAACAACAAAGCCAACTAAAGATCAAAGAAAGACTTTTTTCCAGCTTAAGGAAACAAAGAGGTCAGCAGGAGAGGTCTGTGACACTAGCATGGGGGCCAGTCCAGAGCTCATGCAGGCCTTAGAGGTGGTCCTAAGAGTGTTAGTAGGAGCGGCTTTGGGAGCTCTCAGCCCAGAGATGGTAAGGGAGTTGGGCACCTGGTCATGAAGAGATTACAGGGCACACTTTGCTGGCACTGAGTACAGCTGGTGCTGATTGGCAGATCTTTTGCCCATATGCAGTTCTGCGTTACATTTCCAGGGTTGAAAGTAGCACTTGTGGTTGGTTGCAAGAGAGCAGGAGGCCTGGTCACAGTTTCAAGGCAGAGAGAAGCACTAGTATTTGTGGATGCAGGAGAGGAAGGGATCAGGTCCCAGTTCCAAGACAGAGAAGACTACTAGCGCTTATGGCTGCAGGAGAGAAGAGGAGTGGTCACAGTTCCAGGGCAGCTGCACAGAAGCAGGGGTACTTGCTGGGTAAAGACAAGAGTGCAGACCAGGAGAGCAGATCTGCCTATATCACACCTTTTTGGAAGCACTAAAACCTTTCACAACCCCTGTACTAGCTCTGAAAACAGCAGCATGAAAAAGCCTGAAGCTTGGGACAGTGCCTTCCCACACTCAAGTGAGCAGAGCCCAACTTTAACATAAAGTTCAAAGTCAAGATATGGGCTAGAAAAATGAGCCAACAAGAACAACAAAATATTTGACCATAAGAAACTACTATTGGTCACAGGGAAGACTACCATAAACTCAGAGGAAGATAACAGTCTCAAAATGCCTACATGTGAAGCCTCAAAAAAAAAAAAAGCTAATTGGATACAAGCCCAACAAGAAAGAGATGAGAATGGTAGAGGAAAAAAATGGGAAAAGAAATGTGATGCAAGAAAATTATGAAAAGAGAATTAGTAATTGGTAAAAAGAGATTTTAAAAAACCTGAAGAAAATAGCATCTTAAAAAACAGAATTGGCCTAACCATAAAAGAGGTAGAAAAATTCACTGAAGAAAACAGCTTAAAAAGTAGAATTGCCAAATGGACAAAAAGACACAAAAGCTCACTGAAGAAAATAGTTCCTAAAAAATTAAAATTGGGCCAAGTGGAAGTTAATGATTCTGTGAGATATCAAGAAAAAAGGCAAAAGAATGGAAAAAATAGAAGAAAAGGTGAAATATCTCATTGGAAAAACAACTGACTTGGAAAATAGATCAAGGAGAGAGAATTTAAGAATTATTAGACTACCTGAAAGCTATGATAAAAAACAAAAGAGCTTAGGCTTCATACTTTTTTAAAATCTGCTGGTAAATGAGTCCATCTGTTTCTCAGTTCAGGCTGGTGACAGTTATCTGATGTCCTCCAATATTTGAATACCATCCTCCCAGTATAAGATAAGGGAAATCGAATCTTAGTTTTCTTCCCTGGTTGTCATCACTTTGGGACAGAGAGAGAGAGAGGGAGGGAAAGAGAGGGAGAGGGAGACATAGAGACAGAGACAGAGAAATAGAAAGAGAGAGTGAGACAGAGAAAGAGAGAGAGAGAGAGAGAGAGAGAGAGAGAGAGAGAGAGAGAAGAGACAGAGTGATTGAGATCCAGCAGTACCCTAGTTCATCCTTTTCTCTGCCTTCTTCAGTATCTCTCAATTATTAACTCCAACCCTGCCTGTCATCATGAATCTCCCTTGGAGGTGACTTTTAAAAAAAAAATTTCCAGATCATAAAATTATTGATTCAAAGCTGGAAAGAATCTCAGAGGCCACTGAGTTCAATCTTCTCATTTTGAGGATGAGAATACCAGAGAGGTCAGGTAACTTGCCTAGTGTCACACAGGCAGCCAGCATCAGCCATGGGATTTGAGCTCAGTTCCTCTGAATCCAAACCAGTATTCTTTCCACTGTACCTTATTCTTTTTAAATCTGTTTATTGCTATCTTGAGGTTATTTCATTCATTTTATTTGTATTCCCAAAGTACATTGCCTGACACGATTGGTGTTTAATGCATACTTGATTGGTTGATTGATTTATGTCACTTTCATTTCTGAATATATCCCTTCCTATCTCCCTTAGCCATCCCTTCTAACTATGATTTTAAAAAGCAGAGCCACTCTAGCCCCAGTTACTCAAATGGGAAAGGGAGGGGGAAAGTGCAAATATCCTAGCACTCCTTACTTCCAATAAATGTTATGGAACTGAATTACTCCTAGCTCTAACCTTGGTCATGAGATGTCCCTCTGGAAACATACCCCCTGGCCAGGCTTCTTAGAAAGCATGAGTAAGTGTGCTGCTATAGTGAGTGAGAAACAGACTCTATAGCTAGACAATGAATTGAATTTGAGCATACAGCTGCAATACTTTATTTCAGAAACAGGAACAAAAATGTTGCCAAGTGTACATTGCAGGGACCATGAGAGCCATGTATATATTCAGACAGAGGAGCGAGGGGGATGTGATTGTCTGTTCATTATACATAAATAATGTTGTGAAAACTGAAAATTAAGTCTTACTAGTGACTATCCCTCATAATTAATTACAAGACAGGCAACAGAAGTACCTAGAATAGATTATCCAGCCTTGGAGATAATATCTTCCTTCCTTTCTTTCCTGCCAGAATCAAGAATGTTTTATATTCTTCAGGGCCTTTTACCCTCAGTCTAGGAGGACTTTCCTTATGCTCTCTCAGGAGGCTTCATACTTATAAAGGAAAACTGTACTAATATCTTAGATCCAGAGGGTGAAATAGAAATTGAAAAAATCTGTTGATTTCCTCCTGAAAAAGGCCCCCCAAAATAAAAATTCCCAGGAATATTATAGCCAAATTCCAGAGTTCTGAGATCATGGAGAAAATATTGCAAGCAGCCAGAAAGAAACAATTCAAATATTGTAAAGCCACAGTCAGAATAACACAAGATTTGGCAGTTTCTACATTAAAGGATTAGTGGGCTTGGAATATGATATTACAGAAGGCAAAAGATTATAGCCAAGAATAACCTACTCAGCAAAACTTTTAAGGGAAAAAAATGAATATTTAATGAGAGGACTTTCAATCATTCCTAATGAAAAGACCAGAGCTGAATAGAAAATTTGACAAACTCAAGACTCAAGAGAAGCATAAAAAGGTAAACATAAAAGAAAAATCATAAGGACCTTAGCAAGATTAAACTGTTTACATTCCTATATGTAACACCTAAGAAGAGGGGAGAAATAAGGATTCGCTGAGAGAATGAAGGGGGAGTTAGAATGGTGAAAATTTTCTCACCTAAAACAGTAATGTTTCTAAGAGATTATGCCCTCCTTCTCCCTTCTCAGACCACACCCAAGACTAGATAGAATTCAAGCACTTTACCTCTAACCAAATGGGGTTAAAACCAAACCTTTTCACTTCACATCCTGAGCATATTTCATTGCTGAACTGTCCCAGGGCACTCTGCAAAATCAACTTGGACTCTAGCCTTTCTCCATATTTTATTGGCCCAATTAGGGATAGAGAAAGGGCCCCAGTATTACTTCTGACCAGCATCTATTAAAAGACAAGTACCCCTGTGCCACATGCTCTCATTTGCCCATCCCAGACTCTATTGGAATTAACAGAGGACCTTTCTCTTTTTAAAATATTCCTATTTTTAGGGCAGCTAGGTGGCACAGTGGATAGAGCACTGGCCCTGAAGTCAGGAGGACCTGAGTTCAAATCTGGCCGCAGACCAAACACTTGACACATATTAGCTGCATGACCCTGGGCAAGTCACTTAACCCCAATTGCCTAAAAAACAAATAAACAAAAACCAAACAAATAAAATATTCCTATTTTCCCCCTACTGTCTTGCAAAATAAGATCTCTCCATCATTATTACTTAGAAAGGAAAGGTATTCATTAAAATTGATCTCTAGTTATGTTAACAAATATATTATCCTACCTATTTTCCTTAAAAATTTTTCCTTAAAGAAAAAAGTTTGTAAAATTACTAAAATTGATGCTGCATAGTAGGTGCTGGTGAGTTAACTCCTTCTGCCTCTGATACCATTGAAATCCAAGAATGATGAATGTGGTTGTTCTTTAATATGTTACTGGGAATCCTTAGAAAACAGACTTTCTAGTGACTATCTGTACAAGGAGGTAGCTTTTTTTCTCCTTTGCTGAGTATACTTCGTGTGGTAGTAGTAGTAGTAGTAGTAGTAGTACTAGGATTGGGTGTCATCTTAACATCCAGGAGTGAGGCTGCCCTGTGAAAGTTAAAGGAGTTACGAGACTAACTTGATAGCAGCCTCTCTTCCCAGGGGCTTTCATATTAAACCACAACACATCAAAACCAGTCAAACAAAAATATCAAAACCAGACAAACGTACTCAACTTCAGTGCAAGGAGATCATTCATTCTGCATAAAGTTCAAACCATTGTCTTCAGTGCTTTCTAAAAGGAAGAAATAGCGGGGAAAGAAAGTCATGAATCCAAATCAACAAGAAAGAGTCTTTACAGTGGATGGGAAGGTGAGAGGGTGATGGCAAGCAACCGTTATAGACACTCTCACTGGAATTTGTTCAAAGAAGGAAGAATATATATACACACTCAGTTGGGTATAGAAATCTGCCTTACCCAACAGGTAAATAAGATAACCCAACTTGGAAATAGGAGGGGAAGGGGGTTAGAGAAAGGTGGGGGTTGGGGGAGAATGATAAAAGGGAGGGCAGATTAAGGAGATAGGTCAGAAGCAAAACAGACTTTTGAAGAGGGACAGGATAAAAAGGGAGAGAAAAGGATAAACGGAAGAAAATGGGATGGAGGGAAATTAGTAATTACTTAGGAGGGAAATTAGTAATTAGTAAAAATTAGTAATCATAAACATGAATGTGAATGGGATGGGCTAATCCATAAAATAGAAGCAAGTAGCAGAATATATTAGGAACTAGAAACCAACAAAATGTTGTTTACAAATGACACACTTAAAACAGAAAGACTTAGTGTTAAAATCAGGGGCTAGAACAGAATCTATTATGGTTCAGTTGAAGTAAAAAAAAAGCAGGGATAGGAGTCATATTCTTGGACAAAGCAGAAGCAAAAATAGACTTAATTAAAAGAGATAATCAGAGAAACTACATTTTGCTAAAAAAAATACCATTTACAATGAAATAATAGAAAAGAATTTTACAGCAAGTTTTTCTGATAAAGGCCTCATTTCTCAAATATATAAGGACTTGAGTAAAATTTATAAAACTAAGAGCTATTCTGTTATTGATAAATGGTTGAAGGATATGAAGACATTTTCAGAGGAGCAAGTCAAAGCTACTTATAATCCCATGAAAAAAATTCTCTAAATCACAAATAATTAGAGAAATACAAATTAAAAGAACTCTGAGGTACCACCTCACACCCATCATAAATGATAATTGCTGGATGGGATGAGGGAAAATAGCTACACTAGTGAATTGTTGATGGAGTTGTGAACTAGTCCAGCCATTCTGGAGGACAATTTGAAATTATGCCCAAAGGGCTATAAAACTGTGCATACCTTTTGACCCAGCAATATGTCTACTGGGGTTAGGTCTATCTCTCCAAGAGATCAAAGAAAGCTGTAAAGGATCTATATGTAAAGAAATATTTATAACAGCTCATTTATGGTAGCAAAAAACTGGAAATTGAGGGGATGCTCATCAATTGGGGAATAGCTGAACAAGTTGTGACATATTTTATAATGGAGCAATATTGTTCTATAAGAAATGATGATGGGGATGGTTTCAGAAAAAACATCGGAAGACTTAAATGAACTAAAGTAAAGTAAAGTGATCAGAACCAGGAAGATCTTGTATATAGTAACATTAATACTGTATTGATGGTCAACTTTGAAAGACTTAGCTGCTCTGATGAATTCAGTGATTCAAGACAGTTCCAAAGAACTCATAGTGAAAAAAGCTATCCACCTCCAGAATAGCAACTAGAGTTATTATTTTTGAGTTAAATGAAATTTGGTATTGCCATAGTAATGATTATTTGTCATTTTATTATTAGGTATTCATGATGACAGTTCTTTTAGGACACTGGATCAGTATGTTAAATGGTACCATAGTGTTCTGAAAAGAAGTGAATTTACCTAAAAGGCAACAAGTTGAGTTAGTTATAGGATTGGACCCAGTAATACTTGGAACTTGTATAGTATTTTTTCCTTCACTGGGCCAGGGGACTCAGAATGGTTGTAAAAATGTCAAAATATTTTGTAAGAAACAGTAAGATTGCAGTATAGTCTTTCATTAGTCTATCTACTGCCTAGTTGTGTAAATCATAGATGTCAGACTCATGGTCTGTGGGCCAATACATGGCCCTCAGGGATCTATTTCTCTTTGAGTTTGATACCACTGGTATAAATGATAATCCTAGAGTGCAAGTCTAACTGTGTCACTCCATTTCTCAATAAACTCTAGTTTACTTACAGGCTTAGCTAAAAACATCTTTTTTTATAGTTGGCATTTAAAACCCTTTACAACATGGCCCAACTTATTTTTCCAGCCTTATTGTACTTTACTTCTTTCCTCACAATCTAGCCAAACTGACTTTTTTCCTGGTTCTACACACAATTCTACATTTCCCACCTCCATGCTTTTGCACTGACTGTACCTCATGCCTGGATTGTACTTCTTAATCATCATCAGTTACATGAAGTCTTTTCTGATATCTCTAGCTGCCAGTCCTCTTCCCACCATTACCTTTTAATTTACATTGCATGTATTTATGTTTTTGGTTTTGTTTTGCTTTTTTTTGGTGAGGCAGTCGGGGTTAAGTGACTTGCCCAGGGTCACACAGCTAGTAAGTGTCATGTGTCTGAGACTGGATTTGAACTCATGTCCTTCTGACTTCAAGGCCAAAACTCTATCCACTGTGCCACCTAGCTGCCCCAGTATTTATGTTTTTATATGTTGTCTATACCTGCCCTCCAATAGAATGTAAACTCCTTCAGGTCAAGAATAGTTTCAATTTTGTCTTTGTGTTCCTCACACCTAGCATAGTGCCTTGTGCCTACTTGGTGCTTAATAAATGTTTGTAAATTGATTGTGTTCAGAATGGTTTGTCTTAAGTATATTATACTGTATTCTAATTCTTCAAAAATTGGTAGTTTTCTTTTTTACTACTTATAAATGAATATTGAGTATAAACTTATGAGATCAAAAATAACATACTAACAAAACATGAGCTTAATTTCTTCATTAGTATCTCATGGATAGTGTAACATTAAGAAACTGAATAAAAACAAGCAGTAGAGAGTTATACTATGATTTCTGCAAAACAATACAACATAAATGATACAATTTTTATTTTAAAAATTATGTGAACCTTCTCTCCAGTTCCTTAAAAACTATAGATTCATTTGAGGAGATTTGATATTGAATTGTTTTACTTTTGTCTTTATATTTCCAGTGCCTAGAATAATGTCTTGTATATACTTGGTGCTTGATAAATTGATCTGATTAAAAAAAAAAGACTAAACTATTTTTTCTCCTTTGGTGCTATTGTTTTTATCTTAGCTCAACGGCTGGAAATTTCTACAGACATTTAATTACACTATCTATCCAATAACTTTTCCGACTGAGAATGCAGCAGAATGGAAAAAACTCTTTAAACCATGTGCTTCACAAAGATTGTTTTTACCAGTAAGTTCTTAAAAGAGACAATACTAAAAAGCTGTTCATAAGCGATTTTTTTGATCAAAGCATGTTTTTATTTTATTTCAGTATTGGAAATTAGGTACATGTGAGTAGACAGCAGCATTATTAACACTAGAGAATTGAATAGAAACTCTCTTTTGCCGGGAATTGAACTTAGATGGCCTCTAAAGGTCTCATGGCTCTTCTAGCTACAAATCTGTGATCCTGTAATCTTAAGCAGAATAAAGGATATCACTGCAGTGATGTAGAACTGGAAAAGGAGGTTGGGCCCATTGCTTTCAGTGCATGCCTGTAATCCCTACTGTTGGGGAAACTGAAGATGATGGATCTCTTGCACTCAGGAGTTCTGATCTTCTTCTGTAGGCTGAGTTAGTCAGGTGGCCTCACTATGTTTAACATTAATATGGTAAGTCCCCAAGAACAAGGTTTGTGGGAAGGGAGCCAACTTGCCTAATGAGGGGTCATCTGGTCTAGGTCAGAAATAGACTATGTCGAAAGTCTTGTGTGGATTAGAGTGGGAACTGTCCCTTGAGAAGCTCCTGTATTTCCAGCCTGAGTGAGATAAGGAGACCTAATCTTTAAAAAGAAAAAGAAAAAAAATAGGAAGCAAGGAACAGCATATGTGCTTCATTTGGTATCTATAGCATGTAAAAAGAAACAGAGGAAGGCATCCAACACATTGACTGTGGATAATTTATGGGAGAACACGGACTAGAGTTAACTTTGACTAGGCATTGGTGCTTTGCTGTGTGCACCAAATACTGAAGTAGTAAAAGCTTAAGAAAATCAGTACCTTCAGGAAAGGATATGATTATGCCAACCATTAAGTCTTAGGATCAAGAAAAGAAAGTGCTTTTTAAAAGAGACCTTTGTGAGACCATATAAACTGATATTGATGTGAAAAATAGGTTTACCACACACACATATAACTCTGTGTGTGTGTGCATAAAACAAGAAACAAATTCCATTTCTTTGTGATTCCTAACTAAAAAAGTTTAGTATTAACATAATAATTGACATAATAAACATATTAGGACCAAAGTCTATTCCACTTGACATGGCATGTTGGCCTACCTAGTCTTGATCTTTCTCATCCCTTTTCAGACTTCTTCCCCTGCTTCCCTTTGCTTTTCCCATTTATCAAGGGGAATATAAATTAAGAGTGTAGAAATAAGAAAAGGCTTACTCAAACTTTTGAGAAATGTTTTGTTGCAAAGTGGCATAAATTCACTTAATTTTATACTAAATTTGTTACAACTTCTGTTTCGTTGTATTACTCTAAAATTGGCTTGAGTTTATTATTTTCTGTCATACCTGTTCCTTTCCCCACTTTTTAATAGTTCAGTTGGCTCTTGTGTGGTATATATTCTTTTACAGATGTAATCTATTTCATGTCCTAAAGATAACCTGTATCGAAAACATCATTCCTTAAAACTTACCGGGTTTGTCTTTTATATTCATTATATCTTTGGCCTTATTTAGCCAGAATTAGGTGTAAAATAATCCATACTTTCCTGAATGATGGGCCTTGGATAAAGTTGTTTTAGTTCCCAGATAATGAGATGAAAAGTACTAATCTTTTGGAAAAAACATCCTTTCAAAAGGACTCCAGAAATGCTGAAGTGATTGTATTAATTTCTGGTTGCTCTCTCTTCAACCTTAAACTTTAAGCTGTTTATTTCCAGTTCATTGAGTAGGTAACAGTCTCTAAACAAATACTTAGCAGTATATCATTGTTTAAAAATGGAATTTTTAAAATAAAAAAAACAAAATGAAATTGGGGTTATGAACAGCTTAGTAAGCCCCCAACCAGCTCCTGCAGCCGTTTTAAGGTTTGTAAAGGGAATTTCCTCACAAGTTGTATGTGAAGTATTAGTACAAATGTTTTCATTTTACAGTTGAGGAAATTTATTTTTTAAAGTCTAGAATGTCATGATAAATCAGTCTTCAATCTTTATTTTCTAAATTGAATAATTTATTTTGGTAAATTTAGTAATTTTGTAAATTAATAGTTTAGTTTTTCTTCCTCATTCTTTAGATTATTAGCAACTAATACATAGCAGTTATAGATTTGATGAATGAATGAAAGAAAAAGCCTTTATTGAGTTGGAATAATTTTTCTACATGGCAAATAGAAAAAACAGAATAGAGTCTGCTTTAAAGGACCTCATACTCTTAGTTGAGGGAGACAATGTACAAGAGAAAGTTTAACTGAAGAGTGAATAGCAAACTCCAGAATTCCCAAGGGAGTTTTGGTAGTGCAGATGATGAGGTCCAGAGGTCCTTAGGTTAACTGGGTGTCTGGATGGTAAAGTCTAATGGTCCTTAATATCACCAGAAGGGATAGAGTTAGTTACTTCCATCTCATCTAATCCCTGTGAGCAGTGAAACTTCCTAGATGGGTCCTAGTCAGCTCAGACCAAGGGGAGAGGGTAACAGAAGAAAGCAAAAGGGGTTTGTTGGTTATAGGTCTTTCTGTCACCCAGTCATTCCAGATAAATTACATTATAGAGTCTTAATCTGAAAAAAGGATATCAGAAGACCTTAATTCAGATTCTATCTAAGTTACTTATTACTTGTTTAACCTTGAAGAAGTTACTTAACCTCCTTGGGCCTCAGTTTCCTCATTTGTAAACTGAGGAGGTTGGACTAACTGGCCTATTCTGAGGTCCTTTCCAGCTCTGCATCCATGAAGTATTGCATTTTTCTTTTTTTTGCTGTTATCTTTCCCACAGATTTGGAACACTGATGTGGACAATTGTTAAAATATTTGTTTTTGTTGAGAGTTACTACATTTAAAATAAAAAGTTCATAATAATATTATATATGCAGTAGGTAGTTAGGGTGAAAAAAATCAAATTTTGAAAAAGTTAAATTTGTGAGAGGCAAATTTTCATTCTTTTTTTAAGCTAATATAAATGTATAATTGAAATTTATATGTAATCAAAACAGTGCATTTTTTTCCCCAGGCAAAGGGGAATTATAATTGATTGTTCAAATTTTCTTCTTTACAGTTAATCCTGAAAGAAGTTGACTCACTGCTATATGTTGACACTGATATTCTTTTTTTACGCCCTGTTGATGATATTTGGTCACTTCTAAAGAAATTTAACTCCACACAAATTGCTGCCATGGCACCAGAGCATGAGGAACCTCGGATTGGTTGGTATAATCGCTTTGCCAGACATCCGTACTATGGAAAAACTGGAATAAATTCTGGAGTTATGTTAATGAACATGACTCGAATGAGAAGGAAATATTTCAAGGTAAATTAGTGATATGAGTAGTTGTTGGAAATGTCACATTCTTGTTTCTTGAAATTTTGTTTCTAAGGTTCGGATTTCTTTTTCTTTTAAAATCTTAAGTCAAAAGAACTGATTTAGGGAATGCTTTTAGTGGAGTAAAATCCTATTTGTTCAGGGTGGTTAAGATATTCTGATTAATTTAATACTAATTGCCACATATATGTTATGTCTTTGTTGATGAGCCGTTTTCAGTCGTGTCCAACTCTTTGTGAACCAATTTGGGGATTTCTTGGCAGAGATACTAGAATAGTTTGCCATTTCCTTCTGCAGCCCATTTTATAGATGAGGAAATTGAAGCAAATGGGATCAGGTGACTTTCCTAGGGTTACATAGCTAATAAATGTCTGAAGCCAGATTTGCATTCAGGAAGTTGAGTATTCCTGACTCCAGGCCTGTCACTCTATCCACTATGCCACTTAACTGCCCCGTATAGGCTATTCAGATAGGCAATTTTCAGAACAGTAGAATTCAAAAAAATAGGTAACACTAATGAGATCAGTCATCTGGGAGATATAATATCAATGAAGGTGCTCTGTGAAGGCTTGTCACAACACTGTTCTAAATTGCGTTTAAGGGCTAGTTTATTTTATAAATTTATACCAATTTGGTACTCCCACTTTCTTAGAGCAAGCAAATTCCAACTTACTATTGATGTCATTCAGAATATGGGGAAAATACCTTTCTTGTACTGTTTCTCCCTGGATTATTGTTAATAATCTCAGTTCCACATTCCTTAGTTCCTGTCTTCCTCTGTCTTTTCTTCTCAGTATATCTTCTGGAACTCTCTGCTGTTAACCACCATCTCCCCATACCAATCAATACCCCCATCGACTCCCCCCACCCCAATCCCTTCACACACACACACCCTTAATATCTTTTTCCTCCTTCCACTTCCTGGCACTGACTCAAATATCATTTTCTTCTGTTCTGATCTTTATTTCTCTCAGTCATCTTTNGTCATCTGATGGCAAGATAATCTCAAGATACTCTCCTATTTTCCTTGGTCCATTACAACCCCATTCATCACCTTTGATAACTTCAGTTTTCATACTGGTGACCCTACCATTTGTACTCTGGCTTCATTTCTTCATCCCCCTTTACCTCTATCTTATAGGAATAGAGATTTAGAATTGTAAGGCGCTTTAAAGACATCTAATCCAAACACCTCATTTTATAGAAATTGAAGCCAAGAGTTGCAAAGTAACTTGCCCAGGTAATGAGTAGAAGAACCAGGATTTGTCCACAGTCACTCTGAATTTAAATCTAATGCTTTCCCTCCCACTACACCAGGCTATCTTCATCCTAGCTATCCTAGGATGGTCATACTTTGGATCTCAATGTCATGCCAAAACTCATTCGTCAAAATTATGAACTCTCATTTTCCTTTATTGCTCATAATCTTCTGTCCTTTCACTATTCCACCTTATTTGAATTCTAGAGCTGACTGCTTTTTAACCTCATTGTAACCTCTGATCCCTCTCTGTTCTACCAGTCCATTATCCCTGTCTTGACTTCATTTTTAAAATTACGTATTATATAAATTATATGATTACGTAAATTATGTATTTTTTTATTGGGCAAAACTCCTTTTCCTCCTTTCACCTCAACTCTCCACATCCATTCCATTTAGAATGAAAGAAAAATAAAACCCTTTTTACAAATATGTTTAGTCCAAAACATGTGCAAATATGTGCAAAAATATGTGCAAAAAATATATGTCTCATTCTCTACTCTTGAGTCTTTTACTTCTCTATCAGGAAGTGGATAGCATGTTCTATCATGAGGCTTTCTGAAATCATGGTTAGTCATTACAGTGATCAAAGTTCCTAATTCTTTCAAAGCTGTTTATTTTTACCATATTGCTGTTGTTGTATACATTATTTTCCTGGTTCTGTTGACTTCACTCTGCATTAATTTATCTATGTCTTCCCAAATTTCTCTTGTATTTTGAGTGGTGGTGGTAAAGGGAAGTATGTTGAGTGTTTTGTTGTTCTGCATCTCAGCTTCAGCTGAGGACCTACCGGCTTTCAGACCCAAAGTCTGATCTAGGGTAAAATCTGATTGCTATCCCCTGATCTGAGATTACAAGTTCTTGACCTGGGTTTGGATCTGAGCAACAATAGGTGGACTCAACCATTATCAGCCAGTTCAGAAACTCTGTTGGTTTAGAGTGACAGAATTGCGGGTTCTCTTTGGCCTGGGATTTCAACTCTGGTTATTCCTCTACAGGCTTCAAACTGAGCTGGAAAATTAAACTGAGACCCTCTGCTTCTGGGATTGAGCCATACTACTACTGCTACTTGGTTCTGAACCTCCTCCACTTTGGAGGAGAGTGCAGGTCCTCTCCTTAGTTCCCTTGAATCAGTAACCCAGAATGGAGTAGTAGACAAAAAGCAGCCATTTGATATCTATCTCTTACTGTGGTTCCCCAGTATTGGTGTGAGGGTGCCCTTGTATAGGTCTGGAACCTCCACTTGCACTGGTGTGCAGCCTTTCCCTGTACTGGAATGCTTCCTAGGCAGCAGTGCTGGCCAGAGCCCAGTGTCTTCAGAATCTGTCTCCCTGTTCTCACCTAGACTTAAAAAATGACTCATGGTGACTTTTTCTTAGATTTCCTAATCTTTTCCAAATTCCATCCTGCTTTCTCTCTCCTCCCCTTCCTCCCTCTCTCTCTCTCTCTCTCTCTCTCTCTCTCTCTCTCCTCTCTCTCTCTCTCTCTCTCTCTCTCTCTCTCTCTCTCTCTCTCTTTTTGGTGAGGCAATGGGGATTAAGTGACTTGCCCAGGGTCACACAGCTAGTAAGCATCAAGTATCTGAGATCGGATTTGAACTCAGGTCCTCCTGACTCCAAGGCCGGAGCTCTATCCACTGTGCCACTTAGCTACCCCTTCTTCCCCTTCCGTAAGGAGAATAAGCAATCTGCTATCACTTATACGCATGCAATCATGTAAAACATCTCCATTTTAGTCATTTTGTGGAAGAAAATTTGAGCCAAAAAACATAAAAACAAAATGAAAGAAGGAAAGTGAAAAATAGTATGTTTCAGTATGTATTCAGATGCCAGCAGTTCTTTCTCTGGAGACATAGCATTTTTCATCATGAGTCCTTTGGGATTGTCTTGGATCAGTGTATTGCTGAGAATAGCTAAGTCATTTACAGTTCATTGTACAGTATTGCTGTTACTATGTACAATGATCTGGTTCTGCTCCTTTGTCTCCTTTGGTCTCTGCTCCTACATCAGTTCATGTAAGTCTTACAGGTTTTTCTGAAATTCTGTTTGTCATTTCTTATAGCACAATAACATTCCATTACACTCAATTACGATAACTTGGTCAGCCATTTCCCAGTTGATGGGCATTCCCTCAATTTCCAGTTATTGGCCACCACAAAAAGGGCTGCTATAAATATTTTTATACAAATAGGTCCTTTTCCCTCCCCTTTTTAAAAATCATCTCTTTGGGATATAGATCCTGTTGTGGTTTTGCTGGATCAAAGGATATACACAATTTTATAGCCCATTGGGCATAGTTCCAAATTGTTCTACACAATGGTTGGATCATTTCATAACTACACCAAAAGTGCATTAGTGTCCCGGTTTTTTATATCCCTACCAACATTTATCATTTTCTTTTTCTATCATGTTAGCCAATCTGTTAGGTACGAGGTGGTACCTCAGAGCTGTTTTAATTTGCATTTCTCTAATCAATAGTGATTTAGAACATTGTTTTTTCATTTGAATATTGATAGCTTTGATTTCTTTGTCTAAAAACTGTTCATATCCTTTGACCATTTGTCAGTTGTGGAATGACTTGTAGTCTTATAAATTTGACTTAATTCTCCATATATTTGAGAAATGAGGTCTTTATCAGACATGCCTGCTGGAAAAAAACATTTCCCCCAATTTTCTGTTTTCCTTTTAATTTTGGTTGCATTGGTTTTGTTTGTGTGAAACTTTTAAAAATTTAATATAGTCAAAATTATATATTTTACATTTTGTAATTATCTCTATTGTTTGATCCTAAATTCTCTCTTTTTCCATAGATCTGACAGGTAGACTATTCCATGTCCCCTTACTTTAATTATGATCCTATATGTCTAAATCACGTATCCATTTTGACCTTAACTTGGTGTACAGTGCTTACGCTGCCGTACTATGTTTCTGCCATACTGTTTTCCAGTTCTCCCAGCAGTTTTTGTCCCAGTAGCTTGGATCTTTGAGTTTATCAAACACTAAATTGCTATAGTCATTTATTACAGTGTAATGTATACCTAATTGATTCCACTAATCTACCATTCTATTTCTTAGGAAGTACCAGATTGTTTTGATTATTACTGCTTTATTATATAGTTTGAGATCTGGTATGGCTAGACCACTTTCCTTTTACTTTGTTTTTTATTAATACCCTTGATATTCTTACCATTTGTTCTTCCAAATGAATTTTGTTATTTTTTCTAGCTCTATAAATTTTTTTTGATAGTTTGATTGAAGAACTAAAATAATTTTGGTAGAATTTAGGTAGAATTAGGTAGAATTGTCATTTTTATTCTATTGGCTTGGCCTATCTATGAGCAATTAATATTTTTCCAGTTGTGTAAATCTGACTTTATTTGTGTGAAAAGTGTTTTGTAATTGTGTACTTGGGGAGAGGATTCTGGGAAGATGATGGAGTAGGTCAGAAAACTTTAGACTCTCCAAATTTCCTTCCCCAAAAAAGACAACATCACCTCAGAGCAGCAGAAATAAACAAAGGGTAAAGCTATTGTTCTAACAAGATAATTTGGGAAGACCCCAGGAAAGACCTGACCTGCAGGGGCCAAGGTTTGACCTGAGTGAAGTACAAACACCTCCAGGCCAACTCTGCAGAATCTACTGAGCAACAAGCCCTAGGGGCAGCTGGGCTGAGAGGCAGCCTTACCCTTAGCCTTAGAATCTTTCATCTTGCAGACAGTGGAGGGGGGAGA